ACTCCTCAGCTGGAGCTACTGAAAAGAGAGAAGTAGCTGGAATTAAACCGTAAGAGTAACACTTGAGAAAAGCTGTCTGAACTCTCCTATGGAATCCCTTCAAGAATGTCCTCAGGCTATGTCAATGGGAAAATGTGAAGGGGGCACACTAAGTGTGGCATACTTAAAAGGCTAATTATTTCTGCCCTTTCAGTCACGGTTTATTATTCATTACATTATTTTTAAAACTTAGCAATAATAATAATAATAATACCAATACTAAAAGAACAGCTTCTGAAACATTTGCTCCTTTCAGAGGTTAGGTCATCACAGTCTATCATTTTACCCTGAGATTTCACATTTTACAATGGTGATTTCCTTTATCAGGTACTCATCTGAACCGGCAAAATTATAACCATCTCTGACCTTAAGGGGCCAACAAGCAGAAAGCCAATATCATCCTTCAAGAAAAGCCTATTTTTAAACCAGTGACAGTCAAGGGTGTTAAACCACAACTGAAAGCCGACACATACTCTCCAGGTATGCTGTTTGGGGGGGGGATCTATGAAGCCAGTTCCAGAAAGAAAATGATTGCTCTAGATCAGTGATTCTCAACCTCTGACCTTTCAGCTGTTTTAGGACCTGCTCCCAGAAATCCCAACCAGCAATCAGGGAATCTGGGAACTGAACATCTGGAGGGCAGAAGGCTGAGAATCACAACATCCACATAAAGAGTGACAGACGTTTTTCAGGCCTCTTGCCCCCCCATGTCAAGTTAGGAGAAACACATATTCACACAGGCAGATTCATGTCATATTACACAATTTGAAAAAAAAAAGGACAACAGCTACTTTTTATCCACACTTTCATACGGACAAAATAAGAGCAGTTTAAAAACAAAAAACGGATAGCACATGAGCCATTTGGGTTGTAAAACAGACCAATGAAAGGAGTCCAGCTAAAGGTTGGTAAGCCAGAGACAACAGTTCTCGTTTCAGGACAGCTTTTAAAACTATGGCTTATACTGGGGGCCACAATTTGTGAAGTCCTACGTCATCTAGATCAGGCTTGTCCAACCTGCGGCCCGAGGGCCACATGCGGCCCAGGTCAGCTCGTAATGCGGCCCAGTGCAATTTTTTATTTTTAAAGAAATTCCAAAGTTTCAAGAAGGCTGAGAATCACAACATCCACATAAAGAGTGGCAGACGTTTTTCAGGCCTCTTGCCCCCCCATGTCAAGTTAGGAGAAACACATATTCACACAGGCAGATTCATGTCATATTACACAATTTGAAAAAAAAAAGGACAACAGCTACTTTTTATCCACACTTTCATACGGACAAAATAAGAGCAGTTTAAAAACAAAAAACGGATAGCACATGAGCCATTTGGGTTGTAAAACAGACCAATGAAAGGAGTCCAGCTAAAGGTTGGTAAGCCAGAGACAACAGTTCTCGTTTCAGGACAGCTTTTAAAACTATGGCTTATACTGGGGGCCACAATTTGTCAAGTCCTACGTCATCAGATTGAACCAGAAAATCAGCATCATGGGTAGGTGACTTCTTGTTGAAGGACTGCAAATCCTATTACCCCCCACACACACACTATTGGCTATGCTGGCTAGGGCTTAATGGGAGTCGCAGTCCACTTACAGCTAGAGGGCCGCAGAAAACCCAGCAGCACGTTTCACCTTCTCCTTTAGGAACGGGCCCATCCAAAGAGGTCATCCTGCTTTCCACTCTTAGATGGGCACAGCCAGGTAGCACCTCTGCCATGAGCTCCTTCCCTGTGCCCTGTACCATCACAATCTTTCAGACGGCAGACAAACTCATCCATATTCACATTTATAATTATGTCATTGATTTACATATACTGATGGTTTTTATTTGATTGTACTTTATAATGTTTCATTCTTCTTTGTAAGCCGCCCTGAGTAGACTCTGTCTAGAGGGGCGGGGTATAGATCGAATAATAAAATAAAATAACCTTATCATAGCAGTTCATACTGACCTGCTCTCGGCAGCTATCTGATTCTTAGGGCCTGCAAACTTTACTTAATCTGTTTTAACCTCATCATCACTATAGAGACTGCAGAGCTGGAGGGGACCCTATAGATCAGTGGCCCCCAACCTTGGGCTTCCAGATGTTCTCGGACTACAGCTCCCAGGAGCCTTCACCACCACCTCTGCTGGCCAGGATTTCTGGGAGCTGAAGTCCAAGAACATCTGGAGGCCCAAGGGTGGGGACCACTGCTATAGATCATCGAGTCCAGCCATTGTCAAGGAGGCGCAACCTCTGGTTACACAGCCACATACCTAAGCTACTCTGCTCAAAACTTGCATACCTGAGTCATCTTACTGACCTAGCCAGTGGGGAAGTGGGCCATACATTTTCCCTATAAATAATGCATAATAGTTATTGACTGTTGCTATAATAGATGAATTAATTCAGGATTTTAAAAGTGTGCATTCAGAAATACACTTTTGTTTATGCACACAGAACACATTTAATCACAAAAAGGAAAGAAAACGCAAGAATGATGTCAAAACTAACAAAGACATCAGAGTGAGGGCCTTCAAGTTCTTTATTCGGCAGCACCACCCAGTTTCATCAGAGGTCTTGCTGGAGTTGTCATTTTCCTTATAAATGCAACAAGAATCTATATTTGGGGAAGGGGTAGCATGTTCCCAAGAGGAAACAAACATTGGTGAAAAGGGATGCATTTATCCTGCATCTTGGGTCTTGCTGTCAATAATCCACTGTAGCCTCCACAAAAATATGGGAGTCTGTCGTGATCTGCATTCCATGATGACCTGGAACTGAACTTCCCACTAGGACTGACTAAAAAGGAATGTGCATTAAAGAACTCCCTCCACATGTTTTTTTAATTAAACATCCTCTACTTTCTGTGGAAATTCTTTCCTCTATATTCTGCCCTTCTCACATCTGGATCTGCAGTGAAATCTGGCCCTTCCACTAGCATCTAACCCTGGGCTATGTAACCAATAGGTCTGGTAAGACGATGCTACACCTTTGCATGCAACACTATGACTGATAGTGCTAGATTTGACCACAAAGCTATTGGTGAAACCATTCTTCACAAAACATCCAGAAACAGCCTTTAAGATTTCGCAATCCTTGCACAGCTACTTAAATGGTTTCCGCAAAGCAGCAAATTGAAGACTGCTTCAACTTTTTGCAGAGCAGTTCAAGAATATGCTACCAGTACTCAATACTGTATTTGCTAACACATCTATAACATTCTACCTCTTGCTTCACTCCAGCTAGTTGTGAAAGTGCAAATTCCCTTTCCTGCGAGCTTCCATGTTGCAAATCTGTCAGAAGCATTTTTGAAGAGCAGTTAACAGGTGCCTTCAGCCAACATTCTCCATTTGGAGAGGGCCATCAAAATTCACATGCTGATGCATTCGTTTTAAAGATCACTTGACCAATACAGAATGGCATAACTTTGTAATGTCTGGCAACAACTTTAGAATCAGTTATCTTTCATTTTATGATGAAAGCTTTCCATTGATGCTTCAAAATCAACTTTACGTGGCATAAATCTAAAATAAACGAAACCTCCTTCAAACAGCAGTTCTAAAATTAAAATCAAACAAAGGAATAACTAGTTGTGTGAGCAATCAGAAAACGACACTGCCAAATTAAACTACATTGAGGAATCTGGTATGAAAAAGGGTGGTGAGGTGTGTTTTTTTTAAACAAAGTAACTCACTGCCTTTTCTATTGTTTCATTGCCAGACTGAAATCAGCACATGCTACAGCAGAATTTTCATCAGCACGTTAAGAGCTGGCACTATTAACAATATTCAGGGGTGATAGAAAGAGCTTGTACTTTGCATATTTCAAAAGACGTGGAGACAAAAGCCACTTCATGCTTTACATCATAATCACTTCTGCAGCAGCTACACAAATGCTTTCCTCAGCAAACACGTGGTGTGACTGATGGTCCTCCCAAAATCAGTGAGGGAGAGGGGAGGGGTGCGCATGCCAATAACTGCAGCTAATAAGGAGTCACCAGCATGCCTACATTGCATCTTTAGGAGCATTTAGGGACAAGAGTGCTTGTCATTCGCACTTTCCCACCTCCTCCAGGGAATGTGTCAACTGACCCTCAAAAGCACACTCGAACAGGTTTCCACATCAGGTGTTCCAAAGAAGGGAAAACACTAACCACTGTGAAAACACAGATTTCTCTTGCGGACTTTCCAAGACAAAGGAAAATATGCTGAAGAGAGACCATCTTAGTGCATGACTTCAGAAAAGAGTCACAAAGCTCACACTACAGACAACAGAAGACATGAACAAGATGATACAATTCTACATTAAGTTGCTTTAAAATATGCATTTATATATTTAGTTTTCATTTGAGTCATCTAAATTAAAACATTAAAACAAGGAGGTGGGGAAGAGGAAAGCAAAGACCACAGAGACGTCTCAAGATACAAACATCTAGCTCTGAAAAACCTAAACGATTCCTCAGTACATCTGGAAGTCCAGCTGACCCTATGGAAAAGTTTTCCAGGATCCTGACTTTCGAATTAACTTCCTTAATGGCCCAGCACAGCTACATACAATTATCAAACCCACTCCAAAAAAAAAAAAAAGAGTGTTTTTGATATGAGATTTTTTTTTTCTAATTCTGAAAAGCCATTCTTTTGCACTTTTCCTCCATGGCATGATGCTCTGGCCGGGGCAGCTGCAGCCTCGGCAAGAAACACCCAAAACAAAAGGGCTGGCTGGTTCCCATAATATCAGAACAAGCAAACATAAAAATGAGCTATTTAAGCAAAAGAAGAGCTGCGGAGGCAGATTCTCGTTCAGGAAACGGCAAACATATGGAAGCCAATTCCATCACCGCATGAGACCAGCACTCAAAAACCAAGCGTCGGCTCACCGTTCTCTTCTCTACTACAAAACAAATAACCATTATCCTAAAATCGCATGTAAAGGACACAGGAGAAAGTGGGGTGGGAGTGAAAAACCAACATGGCATCCTACCTTTTATTTATGGGTTTCTCATCTTTCTCGTAAGGCTTCACAAACCATTTCCCGATGCGCACAAAGTTACGGTTCATTAGACATCTCTCCACCAGGTTGTGAATGGCTTTAAATAGCAGAGTGCGGCATTCGTAGGAAAGCCCATTCTCCCATACACCGTCTTCTTCGTCTGTAAAAGTGGGGGGGGGGAGGATGGAGAAAACAAAGTTAATTATATCAAAGCTTTCACTGGAGGTGCTAGGCAAAAGTTACTATAAATAAGAACAGCGGTTCAAGAAGGGCAGTGGAGTCCTTGCTCAAGCACCACTTCATCCATGCCGTTTTAAGAGTACGGTTAAGTTATCTAGGAACATAAGCACGGGGAGGCACCCAGTAGTATAAGGCAAACAATGGTCCAATTTAGGCCACTGCTGGTCACTCAATCAGACGCAGCTCTCCAAGAATCTCAGAACAAAGGCTGCCCAGCCCTTAAAAGGTCCGACTGTTTCCTGAGAGATGCTACGAATGGGACCTGAGAATTTCCGCTCGCTCCCTTCCATCACACACCTCTAAGTGTTGGGTTGTGAACTCCTAGTGACAGGGACCTCTCTTCTTTTCCTCTGGGCACCACTGAGCTAAACGTCAGTATCTGGGTTCTAACATTCCTGGCGGACAGTGATGGGAAATGTCAAGATTACCATTCATTGGTTTACATCCCCAAAATTTAAAAACTATTCCTGTCGCAGTACAGCATCACCAAAAAATAAAACTGTGGGCACAACTCCCAGGGGGACAATAGTTACCTATGGAGTCAACCTAGTTAGAAGTGTTTCTTTCAGCACAGCCCCTCTGATTTCTTCTAAACGAGTGCCTGGTTATTATTCTTGAATAAAACGCTTCACAGGAAAAAAGCCTGGGATGAGAACATAGTGACCTACATCCAACTATTAGTCCCAACTAGGGCAGTTTCACTGAATCAGTAGAAATTACACAAATGTTGACTTAAGTTCCCACTGACTCAACGATTGAAATCCAGTAATAAGTTGCAAACACAGTAGGCCTACTGAATCAGTGAGGATCTGGTGAGTCAACTCCTTCAGAAGTTCCTTTCAAAGCCACCTCTAGCTGCAATCTATTGCTGGATTTCAGCCATGGGTCTATTCTAGTTGCAATGAACACCCGGGTTTTGACCATTCTGACCACAGAGATCCTACAGAGAGATGGGTGTCTCACACTTTCTTAATAGCCCATGCAGTATAAAGGATATCTCCATACCCTTACCTTCCCCACAACCCACAGAGGCAGCTCAGAGGAATAAAGTAGCTGGAAAAAAATGTGGCTTTGACCTAATAAAGCGGAAGCACCCTCCCCAAAAAAAATCTGCAAGCAGCTGAAAACACAAGCCAACAACTGAACGGTGCACAAAAATCACAAATCTTTGCCTCGGCCAAGTATAGGCACAAGATGGTCAGCATAATGCTACACCCCCGCACCCAGTATTGTCTCTAATTCATTCTGATATCTGCCCACACAAACTCAAGGTATGCCAAGAGCAAGCTGCGCCATCAGCTGAAGTCTCTTTGACCTTTACAGTCAACCTCTTTGTAAAGCAAGAGAAGAGGGGCTTATCCTGCAGGTTCTGGGAATGCAGGCAATCACACCAGGCCTAACGTTTCGGGGCAAAGGGCAAGGAATTTCTAGATACCCCGGAGAGCTAGGAGTATAGAAACAGCAAATCCAACCATTTCCCCCAAACACGCAACACTGACTCTGAATACATCTGATTTATTCCCCAGGGAAAATTTCTGTTTAACCTGGCAGAGGCTTCCACATGGTGTCTTCATCTTGTGCGTAAGATATTGTTTCCATGTTAACAGTGCTGAAACCTCTTTCTGGCAGCGGTAGGACAAAAATGCAATCCTTTATTTCCCCCCCCTCCCAAAAAGGACGCATCACTTATATAGTAATAAATATTTTGAAAAGTGGCTGGGAATTTTGAGTTCACTGTCTGTTCAGACCATACTTTACTTAATCACAGTCTTTAACCCTTGCCCAGAACAGGCGGTGGAAACAGAATAGATCCTGCACAACTTTATGAAACACGTTCAAGGTGCTGGATTTCATCCAGCAAGGCTTGTCAACTCTTCCGCCTACTAAGACAGCTTAGTGGTCTGCTCTTCTTGGCCACAGTGAGGGCAACCAGCATAACTTAAGAAAATACTCATTGGTCCGGATGTCAATGTATTTCTGAAGACATTTTTAATCACAACTTTTAGATTACCAAACCGAGCTGTCACCAGGCTTTTAACCAAGCCAGATCTAGAGTAGAGCCAGATCAACGTAGAAAAGCCCTGTGGCACCATGGTTAAATTGCACTATTGCAGCCAAAACTCTGCTCACAACCTGGGTTCAATACTAGGTAGCTGGCTCAAGACTGACTCAACCTCCCACTCTTCTGAAGTTGGTAAACTGGGTACACCCAGCTTGCGGGGAGGGGGGGGTTGGTAAACTGGGTACCCAGCTTGTGGGGAGGGGGGGAGAGGGGGGACAATGTGTAGCCTGCATAATTAAATTGTAAACAGCCTAGAGAGTGCTTTAAGTGTGGTTAGACGGCATATAAACAGCACACCTTGCGTTGCTTTGCTTTAGACAGAGTGCGGTACTGGGAGCTGTTTTATACCTTTAACAATCCGAACAGTTTCTAGTTCGTCCAAAAACAAGTTTCTGATCCTTCTTATTGCAACATTACACTTCAAAATACTTCTTTTTCCAGACAAGCTTCTGGCAATTGAACAGTTGTTGCAGAAGAGTTCCTGGGTGTTATGTTTTCCTTAGTAATGTTTTACAACCGTTCTAAATGGAGCCTTTAACTTAATTTTAACCTTGTGTCATGTTCTATCAGTACTTTACCACTGTAAGCTACCTTAAATCACATGGATGGGATAGCATATGTATACTCACAACTAATAAAAACCGCAGACAATATCACCCAGGAACACTCAGGAACAAATGGGGAGAAAAAGGAGAGAAATAAGATTTTCGGTGATTGAAGGTGTAATTGGAGTGCTCTGTCCTTACCTAAGACTACCTAAAGCAGAAACTACTCAATAGCATATAAAGGGAATATGAAGTCAGGCGGAGGGTCCATTCATGTTAGCGGCACCCTCCAGTTTCCAAGGCAGAATGTCAAGAACAGGGGTGCGTCATTCAGGTTTTTTGGACCCCAAAAAGTTTCCAAGAATTCCCCAGGCAGAGTACTGAGAGTTCCTGCCCAAAGACACACACCTACTACATAAACTTACATTTCCGTCACCTAGAATTAGGCTTTCTCAAGCTTACTTCTTGTACAAAAAAGGAAAAAGAAAGAAACTGTTCTGGTGCTTCCTGGGAGGTGTAGTTCTTTTCAGAAGCCTCTAATAGGACATAATGGGCAGCGAGAACACAGTTCTCATGAAGACCTAGGCTTCTCAAGAAATACTAGGGCAGTTCCCTTTTTGCACAGGAAGCAGGCTTGAGAGAGCTCAGAAGAGAAGTCTTTTTCAAGTGAGTGAGCGATAGACAGGTGTGTGAAGGTGTGTGTCTTTGGGCAGGAACTGCCAGACATCTGCCTGGGGAATTCTGGAAATTAGATGAGTCCAAAAAGAGTGTGATGGTGAGGAATGGCATACACCCATCAACAAACAGTAGCCACTGGGCAGCAACAATGGGAGAGGTTTATGAGTATCCTCATATCAATGCTTGTAAGCCTCCTAGACACATCTGGTTAGTTGCTACAGAGGATAGGATACAAGACAAGATGGACTTTCTATCTCGTATCCCACACTTTCAAAAAATTACTTTATGTCACTAAACCTCTCAAGAGCCATTATAGACCACTAGCCTGAATCAGAACTTGAAGAGTTACCTCTACGGCCTGCTACTCTTGGACTCCCCCAGCCAGCATGACCCCTTATACGTCTAAAACAAGCAACCTTTCCAAGCATTTCTGGTGAGTGTAATTTTTTTTCTGGCCCAGAATTTTAAATGCATAGCACAAAGCCTAGTCATTAGCTGCCAGATTCCACTTTTAATAAGACTTACTCATATTAGAGGCACCCATTTTGCATTGTTAATGCATGTAGGGAAGTGACCACAAATATCTAGAGGAGGGTGAATCACAGTTAATGTTCACGTGGGAATTCAAGGCACCAGAAACAGCATTCCACAGCCTTGCAGGTACCAACAGGTGACCAGGAATTGTATACAGGTGAGTTCATGGGAGTTCCATTCAGGTAAGTGAGCAGAATGGAGCAGTGGAGATGCATCATACCATCTCCCTATGCACCCAATCTAAGTATGCCACAAGCTGGAACAGTTTCTCCTAGATCAAGCCCAGCAGGATAGCAATCAAATCAAATCAATCAATCAATCAAGAAGGGTGCGCAAGGGTCTTTTTGTGGTTGCAATGGTTACATCCATACCTGACCTTCCTGACATGCTTTTAACTCTTTCACAGCCTGGAATTCTTTCTTTCACAAGCCCAAAAACAATACTGAAGCCACTCCAAGCTTATTCAGTGAACTGAGCAAAGGAGAGATCCAGATCAATAATTATATTTACAAAATGGCCAGGGTTGGGGCCCTTATCCCTCCCCTCCCACAAGCCAAGGGATGGTGCAGCAAAACCCCTTTAAAATTAGCCACAAGCCACGACAGTCAGTTGACCATACTGCAAATCAACAGTTTTACCAATTTCTGCAAAACCAATTTGTTTGGGCAATGAAAAAATATACAAGGGCATCACTGATGGAAAAGAGATAACAGTTACTATACAGGGCATTTAACTACCCAGTAAAATCTATACAGCTCTTTTACGGACACCACTTTGAAACTCTTGCAGGGAATACAACGCCTACTGAGTGAGTAAATAGCTCAGAACTAAAAGGCAACCTTCCCCACAAACATATGCTGTGATCTTTCTGTGTAATGCACAAACCGCTTTGGACTGTGCTGCAAAGTTCATATGGCAGTGAGGCCCAACAGAACCAGCCACTGACTTGTGTGAATTGGTTGTGCCATCAAGAACTATCAGACTCTAGCACAATGCCCTAAAGGCTGAACTGAAACCTGGTTCCTCAAATTTGGAAACATCACTGCAACACCATTCCTTCAAGAAAATCACACTATAGTAAAATTTGACTGGCTGCACTCT